CTCTTTGCGACCCCACAGACTGTAGCCCGCCAGGCTCCTCTGCCCGTGGGGATTCTCCAGGCCAGAATACTGGAGTGGGTCGCCATACCCTCCTCCAAGGGGATCTTCCCCACCCAGGGATCGAACCAGGGTCTCCCGCATTGCAGGTGGATTCTTTACCAGCTCAGCCACCAGGGAAGCCCAAGAATACTGGAGTGGGGAGCCTGTCTCTTCTTCAGCGGATCTTCCTGACCCAGGGATCGAACCAGGGTCTCCTGAACTGCAGGTGGATTCTTCACCAACTGAGCTACCAGGGAAGCCCGTACACTGAGTTTGAAAGCAGCAGAAATGTCTCCTCTCACAGTGAGGGAGGTCTGAGGTCTCTGTGTCCATCCCTTCTTGGGGGCTCCGAGGGAGAATGTCTTCCACGCCTGCCTTTGTCCTAGTTTCTGGTGCTTGCCTGTGACCGCTGGCACTCGCTGGCTCCCTGCTGCACCCCTCCAGTCTCTGCCTCCACTATTACATGTCTTCCCTTTGAGTGTCTTTGACTCTGTGTCACATATATGTTTATGCAAATATATATGTATATTTGCAAAATGAAGGAAATCATAGCCGTGGTCTGTGGTGAGGATTATAGTGCTCACATTTATTACGGACACTGAAGTGTTGGCTTCCTCCCCTCTCCGTATGTATCCATATACACACACATAGGCTTCCTTGGTGGCTCAGTTAGTTAAGAGTCTGCCTGCAGTGCGAGAGACCCAGGTTCAATCTCTGGGTCGGGAAGATCCCCTGGAGAAGGAAATGGAAACCCACTCCAGGATTCTTGCCTGGAGAATCCCATGGACAGAGGAGCCTGGTGGGCTGCAGTCCACGGGGTCACAAAGAGTCAGACACGACTGAGTGACTGACACACACATACACAATGTGTATACGCACGTCCACACAAATGCACACACCCAGTGTGTTTAGGTCAGCTTGCACGCGCTAACTGCTCATCATGCCCCTCCATTGTGTGGTGTGTTCTCAACTGCACCCAAGAGTGGTAAGCATTGTCTGCCTAGGAGACCCGCTGCTAATATTTCAGAGTTTCTACAATGGCAGCTCTCAGGAATTGTGTTTGTCAGGTGGAAAGACTTCTCCTGTGTTGGCCAGTGAGGTGGTCCAGGCCTCCTTGTCCGCAGCCCCGGGGGTCTGCTAGAAATCTCGCCGTTATCCAGCACTTTGGCAGGAAGAAGGATGTGTGGGTGCTCCGGGAGAGGAGACATTAGGAGAAGGAAAGATGGGGCAATAACAGACTTTTCCTGAGTCCCTGCAGCTCGCTCTCCTTCTATAAATCACGGAGATCCCAGCCTGTCAGAGAGCCCCTTCCCCGCGGGGCCCAGACTGAGCCCCGCGTCTCCATCACGCGGTGTGATGGCTCGGAGCCGCCCGGCAGTCTGTCATAGGGAGGAGACTGCTTCACATAGCAGGCGCTGCTGGAGTGAACCTCAGGAGAAAACGAAGCCGAAATAAAAAGAAAGCATGAAGAGGCTGACGCTGAAAACGGACCACTGTGGACGTGAGTGACCCCTGCGGATGTGGAAAGGGACCCTGGGGTGCACGGGGCCGAGTGGGCCCGCGCATCTGCAGACCTGCCCTGAATTCTCCGGGTTGACAGAGAGGCGGCCTCTGAGCCCGTCTGAGCCCGTCTGCAGCCTGGGTGAGGGAGGCTGCCGTGTCGTCAGCTCACCCAGGCTCTCCCATCCACGCTCTGGTTTCTACCTTCAGTAAAAAGAAGAGAAGAGGAGGGGGCACTTAAGATGCGCACGGGACGAGATGCTCACGTGGAGGGGGAGTGCACCGGTGAGGATGGCCGTCAGAGGACAGGATCTTTGAGGACGCCTGGCAGCTCTGGAGCGGGTGGACGGGGCGCTCGTCTCAGCAGTGATCACGTGGTCCATTGGGAATCATGCTTCAGTGCTGGCTTAGCTGCACGAATCAGAAAGGAAAGCGATTTTCTTAATTATGGCAAAAATTGTAGGGGAACACAGAAAATTCTATACCCTGATACATGTGTGGGCACAGACACACGCACATGTGAAACAATGAACCGGATCCACGGAACAGCTGGTTGTATTGCTTGTATAGGATCGGTTCAGTTTCAGTTCAGTCGCTCAGTCGTGTCCAACTCTTTGTGACCCCATGGACTGCAGAACATCAGCCCTCCCTGTCCAACTCCCAGAGTTTACCCAAACTCGTGTCCATTGAGCCAGTGATGCCATCCAACCATCTCATCCTCTGTCGTCCCCTTCTCCACCTGCCCTCAATCTTTCCCAGCATCAGGGTCTTTTCATAAAAGCACAGTATATTCTGACTGGAGCGCAAATCTAGTTAGAGGTGAAGGAGAAAGAGAATGGCTTATTCTTCACAATTGGTTTTTCTCTTAGCTGAGAAGTGTTCCGCCGTTACTGGGAAGTAAAGGATGAAATTTCTCATTTTGAGGGAAGAATTGATACAGTTTGTGCAATGCCACTCAACACTCTAGCTCCTCCAAATTAATGACTTGGGCTTCCCTGGTGGTTCAGATGGTAAAGAATCTGCCTGCAGTGTGGGAGACCTGGGTTTGATCCCTAGGTTGGGAAGATTCCCTGGAGAGGGAAACAGCTACCCACTCCAGTATTCCGGCCTGGAGAATTCCATGGACAGAGGAGCCTGGCAGGTTACAGTCCATGGGGTCGGAAAGAGTCAAACATGACTGAGCGACTTTCACACACATACACACACACACACACACACACACACACGCACACACACACGTCATTGCCTGCACTTGGGTGGCGCTAGTGGTAAAGAAGCTGACTGCCAATGCAGAAGACATGAGACAAGGTTTGATCCCTGCAAAGGAAGATGCCCTGGAGAAGGGCATGGCAACCCATCCAGTATTCCTGCCTGAGGAATCCCATGGACAGAGGAGCCTGGCTGGCTACAGTCTGTGGGATCACAAAGAGTCGGACACATGGGGTCACAATTGAAGTCACACAGCACATGTCATTGCCGTGGAAATCACGGACTTCTTTGTTTCTTCCAGGTGTGATTTTTATACAGCAGTTTTGAGGAGCCCTGGGCTAGTGTTTCTTGAAGAATGGTCCATGGACCAGTAGCATCTGTATCACCTGGGATTTGTTAAAAATGCAGATTCCCAGGGCCCCAGTTCAGACCCTAGAACCAGAATGGGGGGGCAGGGCAGGAGCCTCTATTATAACAAACCCTGCAGGCGGCTTGTATGCTCATTAAATTTGAGAAGCACTGTCCGCGGAGGTAAATAGGATTATTGGACCACTGTTCATCTTTGCCTCCCCTCTGAGCCCCTGGTTTGAGTTTGCTACATTTTAAATAAACCCAGGACATACATCTCTAAGTCAACAAAAGATCAGCAAAAATAATCAGATCAAAGACTAGTGTGAAATAACCTGTAAATTATTTCACGATGGTTCTCTATCTGTTAGTCTGTTTCACATGCACATCTCCATGAAAGAGGCGGGATCAATAGGCCCAACAGTGCGCCGCAGCAGACGTTTCTACACAAGCCCTCCTTTAAACATCACAACTGTAGTAGGTAGTAAAAATAGTAACTGATCTTAACTAGGGCTTAGTAAGTGATAAGCACTTTTCGAGCAGCTTTGCAGATACTAACTTACCTAATTCTGACAACATCCCCATGACGTGTTACTTGATTTTTAGCTCCATTTTACCGAAGGGAGAATCAAGACTCAGAGAGGAGAGGGCAGCGGGCAACATCACATTTGTCTTACGTAACAAAGGCAGTAACCAAAGGCCAACAGCCTAGCTCCAGACGTCACGTCTCCACCACTAAGTCTGGTGACTACTGTAGCACGTTTATGTGATGCCAGTGGTGGGAAAGCTGATCTGTTCTTTGCTTTCTTACGCTTACAGGGGCTCTGACTGGCAACCCAGCTCCGCCTCACTCCTCGGAAGACTCCTCAATCTCCTGTGCCGGCTCCTTCCTAAGTACCAATCGCATCAATCAGATTTAGCCTCTTGCATGAAGGGATTCTACTCCGTAGGAATTGTTGGAAGAAATAGGCCAAATAATCCATAATCCAGTCCAATAATCCACTGAACTGAAAGAGTTCAATTCTTAGCAAATAGTGAGAGGTCAACTTTAGCAAAGATTAGGCATTGTTATATTAAGTAGACAAAGATTATATTGGATGTCATAGAATTTAAAATATTGTTATGCCTAAGAAACATCCTACCTCAGAGATCCTAAAATATGAAAGTATGTGCATCTTTATAATAGGTGAAATACAGTACTCGATACATTTTAGATTTTAGTCAGTGTTGAATGTTGGAATGTCCTAGACTCAGTGGTAAAGAATCTGCCCGCAGTGCATGAGATGCTGCAGGAGGCACGGGTTCCATCCCTGGGTTGGGAAGATTCCCTTGGAGGAAGGCATGGCAACCTGCTCGGATATTCTTGCCTGGAGAATCCCATGGACAGAGAGGCCTGGCAGCCTATAGTCCATGGGATTGCAAATTGTTTAGTTGCAATGACTAAACAGCAACAACTTTTTAAAGTTGTTAAGATGTGTGTGACAGGGTTGTAGGTAGGTATGTTTTTAAATTTCTCAGCCATCTGCTAAGGGATTATTTTTATTTCTTCTTATTATTCATTGCACACACAAAAAAGTTGGGATGTAGAGAAATTAAGCAACTCATTCACCATCAAGCCACCAAGTGGTGGAGTCAGGATGGCCGTTCGGTGCCTCCGATCCCAAAGTCTTCGTGCTGTGCCGTGATGCGTCAACCGTCTCGAACCCCTGATGCTGTTCTTGGTTCTTCTTCATGCTCCTCTTTCAGCTCTGGGATCTTGACTTTTTCACAGAAGAAATACTTATAACGATAGCCTGAAAGCTTCCGCAGGATCGAGGGAGAGAAAGGACATGAACTCTGGGGGATGGAGTCCCAGGCAGATGCAAAGGCAAGGGTGCCCCCTCTGTTCCTTCACCGGCGCTGACCTTGCTCAGCAGACGCAGCACAGGACCTCAGGCTCCAGCCCTTCACCGAGGGGTCCCCGTGCGCCTCAGCCCCGCAGGCGTTCAGGCTCCAGCCCTTCACTGAGGGGTCCCCTTGCGCCTCAGCCCCGCAGGCGTCCAGGCTCCAGCCCTTCACCGAGGGGTCCCCGTGCGCCTCAGCCCCGCAGGCGTGCAGCTCTGCTGGAAATCATGCAGGAGGAGGTTGCGGTGGAAAGCAGTGCCGGTTCAGGCCTGCGCTCTAGTCTTCAATGCGGTCAAACATTGACCACAGCACACTTTATTCCGCGGCAAAGTAATCACCCTAGTATTAAGTTTAAAGAAATAATAGAACTGTGAATTTCCATATCTCACTGTGGTCTGAGAGGGGACACCCATACCCAGCATTTTAAAGGACCAGTCCTAGACTTTCTGACCTAACAGAACAAGCTTCTGACCATTCAGATACTTCTTTTTCCAAAAGGTGGGCCATACCTTGAGAGTGGCCGTACTCATCCCTGGCCTTTTCTTCTAACGTGTTTTCATAGTTAACAAAAGGAGATATTTTATTTCATTTCCAGGATGGCCTACTATTTGGCATAAAAAAGAATGGCTTTCGTTTCCCTAATTGACCATTGTGCATGAATATATTAATACTGATTAGTAGCCGTACTCATCCCTGGCCTTTCTTCTGATGTGTTTTCATAGTTAACAAAAGGAGATGTTTTATTTCATTTCCAGGATGGCCTACTATTTGGTATAAAAAAGAATGGCATTGGTTTCCCTAATTGGTCATTGTGCATGAATGTGTTAACACTGATTGTATTAATATGGCTTCAGTAGCAGCCACTCCTGAGGTGTCCTTACTTTTCTAACTTGATTCTCTTGTCACCGTCAAACAGAGTAAGGGGAAAGAGAAGGGCTTGTGGAAGTGTCATTTACTCAGTCTTGTCCGACTCTTTGTGACCCCATGGAGTGTAGCTCTCCAGTTTCTCTGTCCGTGGGATACTCCAGGCAAGAATACTGGAGCGGGTTGCCATTCCTTCTCCAGGGGAATCTGTGTGGCTCAAGGAGTGAAGTCGGGTCGCCTGCATTGCAGGCAGGTTCTCCACCGTCTGACCACCAGGGCACCTTGAAATGGCTTGGGGACACTCCAGCTCAAACGTAGTCACACCTAAAATTAGGTTCCCACTCAGAAGAGTCTTGATTGAATTAGACTGTTGGGGGGAAATGCAGATCTGTTCAATAGCAGATTATCTTTAGGGAAGTTTCATAACAAGGAAAACAGTGCTACTGATAACTGAGCTCTACTCAGCATTTTGAGTTCAAGCGCATTAACACAGGAGAGGCAAGTGAGACTTGGTGGGTTGATGGCCTGTGATGAGTTGTCCCCACTTGGGTTGCTGATGCTGCTTTAGGAAGCAGGTTGTGTTCTTCTCTATGTGACTTTAACAAATGACTTTATAACATCAGTGGCTGTTGTACTAGTGGCAGCCAGGAAATTAAATATATAAAAGAATTCAACTGTTTTAACATTTATGCTGTGAAGGATCTCTAATGCAATTTCCCCACCCATGGGTTTATTAGATTGTAAATATTAATAAGATACTAAGTGTGTAAGAAAGAGGAAGACTATAAGAAAAATCCATCACCCCTGCCAACCTTTCCATTACCTTCCACAGTTTTCTGCCACATTTAGCTGACTTGTTTCACTGAAAGATGCATTTTCTAAAACTGAAAAAAAAGATAGTTAAAATTTGAAAGTGCACAGTTTATAAAACTGAAAACAAGGACTTGTTAAACTTTGTAAGTATATTTTTATTATTAAGTAGAAATAAGTATACTATAGTTGGTTGGAAGAAAAAAAATGAGTGCAACTTGAGGAATCTAAAATATGACAGAAATGAGCTTATCTATGAAACAGACTCACGGATGTAGACAACAAGACTTGTGCTTGCCAGGGGTGAGGGGTGTGGGGGGAAGGATGGATTGGGCCTTTGGAATTAGCAGATGCAATCTAGTATGTACGGGATGGATAAACCACAAGGTCTGACTGTATAGCACAGGGAACTATATTCAATATCCTGTGATAAACCATAATCGAAAAGAATATGAAAAAGAATATATATATATATATATCACTTTGCTGTACGTACAGTAGAAATTAGCACAACATAGTAAGTTAACTATAACTTCAGTAGAAAAAATTAAAAGATGAGTATAACTTGCTTGAGGTTAAATGAAATGTAATAAATAATATTTTCAAGCAGCTGCAGATTTGGAGATAGTCACAAAGAAGTCACAAACACGCCTTGCGGTTGGGATTTTAAAATGACTTTTAAAGCGGTGGAAAATTAAAAGGAGATGTTCAGTTGTAGATGGAAGGTAGGAAAAGGTCATTGCTCTGTGAGATTTAATAAGGGAGTCTTAAACGTGCCTCCTCCAGCACTTTCTGAAGACTGGTGAAGACGGCTTATAGCTCTGAAACACTTGATCAGTTTTATTTGTGGTGCATGTAATGCAGGAGATCCATGAGCTGCTGCTTTCGCGACAGTGCGCAGTGGGAGTTGTCAGGCCTCACCGAATCCAAAAATCTGAGGAATTGAAATGTCCTCTGATAGCCAGACCCCAGATTTCCATTTCCAGGAGATTTAGGTTGAGAGTGTCTTGGCCCCCTCTTACTCCCTCTCTCATTAGCAGAGCAGAGCAGTCTCTCTTTTCTTTCTGTGTGAGCCTGGATGCTGCCTTGGGGGCAGGCCTGGGGGGAGCAGGCTTCTCTCCAAGTCCCTGCTTCCAGGCCTAATCCCAACTCTGCCATGGAGATTTATAAAGACTCTGGGCAAGTGAGCCCTTTAGATTTTCGCATCTCCTCATCTTTAACAGCAATTCTCAAAATCTCCAAACCAAAACCCCGTAGCATCACCACGAATAACAAGCAGTAAACTAAGCCTCCCTCGCAAACCCTGCCTGAGCCTAGGAGCATCGCCGTTCGTTTCAACAGCAAAGCCAAACACCAGAGAACTGATATGCCCAACAGCGGCTTGGTAAACAACCAAGGGCTTTGTTCCCAAGTCCTGTGTTTAGGTGGCTTCACTGTTTCTCCCCTCAAATTGCTTTCAATTTGTGTAAAGAGCCACTCCAAAAGTTTTAAAAAAAAATACACACACAGCCCTAAATGTAAACAAAAGCTCCATTTCTAGTAAGAATTGCAAAATTTTAACTGCAGTGTGTTTTCCCTGCTTTTTTCAAGGTTAAAAAACACAATCTTACCTCTAGTCAACTCCTGTGGTCTTTCACTAAGAGGGTGATGGAGCTTCTAGAGGAATGTGTAAATCGAGGGTGCTGTAAACGGACGCTTTAGGATTCAGAGCTCATTTGTCGGGTGATTATTTAGGGAGCATTGGACAGTGATCCAAACAGAGGGGTAAGGGCGGAGCTGAGGTGTTGAGCATTCATTCTCGGCTCTATGGGCCACGTGCTCTCAACAGAAAGATCAAATTAGATGACCAGGTTCACCAAAATCACATATTCAGGGGTTTCTGTTTTGGGGAAGACCTCCCCAGATAATATTGCTATCCCGCTATGCAAATCTGAGAATATATACTGCTAGGTGAAATAAAGTATTGTTGAAGTGGGATTCCCTTGAGTTTGATCCGCCATCACCTTCATTTAAATACAACAAGAATATTTCATTAATATTCAGCTTCCTTTCCAATGTGGGTTTTAAAATTTGCTGAGGCATTTCTTACCTTCTAAATGTAGCTTCATGAATGAAACAGTGATATGAACGAACAGAATACATTCCTTTTATTTAAGGGAAACTCGGAAGGAAATAAACACACAAAACTAAAGATACATCCTTTTCTCTGAATTATTCATCCGTGGGAAATTCTGAAACTTGCAAATCACAGTGTAAGCTCTTGGGTAGCAAGGGAAAAATACAACCCAAATCAACCAGCAGAAGCAGCCCCTTCTCCAGGCTGGAAGCATCCCCTGTCCTCTTAAGAAAATAAGGCAGGAGCAATGGTCAGTTCCATTTTCATTTTCACTTGCTCTGCATTTTAGCCCAGTGTATCTTCGCAAGCCTTGTATGAAAACCTTCCACAACATCTCAGGTATTTGACTGTTTCATGTGCTTTCTCGGGTTCTGCCAATCTTTTTTTTTTTTTTAACTGAAGTATAATTGACATAAAATACTGTTTTAGTTTCAGGAGTACATCATAGTGATTCAGTATTGATACACATTTTAAAATGGTCACTGTGATACAGCTAGTTACCATCTGTCACCATAGGAAGTTATTATAATAATTTGTTGCACACAAGCTTCCAGTTATAAAGTAAGTCACAAGGATGTAATGTACAGATTTAGCCATCTTCACTGTCTGCTGATCTCGTCTCTGCAGATTCACCTACTTGCTAAGATGTATTTCTAACCTCCCCCCACAAAAAAATCAAATACTTGGGTGCTCTCCTGGCTACTACAGGACACACAGAGCAAGTTGGTGACCCAGCGGGCGTGTTCCCTGCTCAGGTGGGAACTGTGCCTTCTTGTTTCAGCTGTAATACCGCAAGCATGTACTCTCCCCAATGTCTGTTTCCTGCCACGTCTTTTGCATTTTTTAAAATACTTTTTGCTGGTGATTTCCCTGTTTAAAATGGCCCCCAAGCCTGGCGCTGAAGGGGACATCTTGTGCCCCCAGTGTAGGAAGGCTGTGATATGACTTACAGAGAAGGTCGTCTGTTAGAGGGGCTTCATTCAGGCGCAAGTTCGGTGTCAGGGCACCAACTTAGGTATTAAATATGGCGTCTTTAAACAGAAGCACACATAAAACAAGGTTATGTATTGGTTGGTTGATGAAGATATCGTGACCAGAAGCTCGCAGGAACGTAATCCCGTGCTCCCTGCTAGGAGCTGTGGTCATTATTCACCACCTCAGTGTCCATAGCATCAGAGTAGAACATAATTGCCACGAATACCTCCAGGTGGCTCAGATGGTAAAGAATCAGCCTGCAGGGTGGGAGACCTGGGTTCGATCCCTGGGTCAGGAAGATCCCCTGGAGAATGGCTACTCACTCCGGTGTTCTTGCCTGGAGAATCCCATGGACAGAGGAGCCTGGCAGGGAGACAGGTGGGGCGACAGTCCATAGGGTTGCAAACAGCCGGACACAACTGAAGCAACTTAGCACGCACACCATGAATAAGGAGCATCTGATTTTTTTCACTGTTCACGTTTTTTATCGGACATAGAACTGTCTTAACCTTCCGTTGCTTTAGAATCGTTTTGGAATACTGACAGGAGTTTGGTTTCCGCACCAGGGTTCCGTAGAGCCAGGCTCCCGTTTATCTGTTCTTCAGTCTGACAGTGAAGGGAAGATGCTGTATTTGCATTCTGGGAACCTGGCCCCGGCCTCTGGCGATGATAGGGCTTTACTTCTCCATGCAGCTTGAGGACGGCCATCTGTCACAGCAGGCGAAAGAGAGACCCTCCAGCTGTGTTTTTACACTCCTGCCACACCTCTGTAAAAATTTCTTTCACTGTTTAAACAGTTTTGATTTAATTCCCTTCCATGTTTAAATTCTCTATCTGAATGCCAAGTGGCATTATGGCTCAATGTAGGTGTGACTGTCCCTTCTGCAAACTGGGCAATTTTGTGTAAGGAAGGGAGGGATCATTCCAGACTTGTTATGAAACCAACAAATGAATATTTTTGAAACTTGGCTGTTTATTTCCACTTTAGCAGCATCTGTATATTCAAAAGCAGATTGTTTTATGTACAGAAAGTAACTATTTGCAAAGGTCCTCTTCCAGGAACTGAGTATTCATATCCATATTTAACAATTCTTCTTTTATTTAAATTTAAATTTACTGACAATTTGCTTTGGAAAGGATATATTTTGCAAGTAATTCTCTTTTGAAACAGACAATAGAAGTAGGCTACTTTGTGATTTTTACTCTCATTCTTTCAGAGACTATCTTGATGTCCTTGGAAGCATGCATTGTTCTTCATCCCTAACAGTTAATATTCTAGGATATGTAAAATTGAAATGTCTTATGAAAGCATTTATAAACGTTTTGATATTCTTTTCTAAGTGTCTGACCCCTTCTGAATCTTTTAAATATACATAGTAATTTCCTCTAAGTATTAGTTGAAAGAAAATTGTATGTTTTATGTAAAAATTGCTTCATGTTCTCATGAATAATTATCTAAAAGTTACTGTTGTATTATGCTCAAGTTTAGAGGAAGAACCTGGAACAACCATCAGGAAAAGTTCTCGTGCTCACTTTGCTACTAGTTCACTATGCAAACTTCTATCAATTGCCTGATTCTTTCTGGGCCTCAGTTTCTCCAATTTAAAATAGAGTGCTGAGACTGGGTTGCCTTTGTGATGTATCACCTACGGGGAAGGTGCGATCATATGTACACGGTAAGCATTCATCTTGCCACGAGAACTTTGCCTTTATATCTTATATCATCATTATTATTTCTGAACAAATCATTTCTCAGAATTCACAAATGATGGAACGATTGTTCTGTAGTCTTCAAAATATTACACTGTTGGGAAAGGTTAGGTGTGAAACTCCTCTAAACACTAATAAAAATGAAGTCAATATACAGATGTTTGTGTTCAGTATCATAACACTAAAGTTTCCGGATGACAATTATAATACTATTTTTTTGTAAACCAGCTTCAAACACTTTAGAAAAAGTGAATATTTAAAACTATTAATCTCTTGTTTTCTTCTATAGTTAACTTTTCATGTTATTCTATATCATTGCAGTTATAACATATTTTATGTAAGTTCTGGGCCACCTTCTTATTTAGTGATTCAGGTTGCAGTCAGTCATTGAAAAGGTTCACTATGTAAGTAGGAGAGACGGTGAAGCAGCAAAGGATACCACGCAAGGGGATAGGCTGATAGAAAGGTTTTCATATATTTGAAAGAACTTTGTTGGCACAAACCTTCCCTTTTCTTCTGGTTTGGAGCGTTCTGTGACGTTCTTCATGACAAGGCTTGAATTCAGACGGATTGCGTTTGCAACTGAAAGGTGCGTTTCAGCTGTCTGTACACAAATATAAAGCAATTATTGCTCGAAGCACATTTATCCCCGTGTCCCTGTGTAACCATGGTGACACAGCCCCGCGACCTGAAAGACGGCACAGGACGTGCGTCTGTGAACCGCCTCGGGCTGCAGTTCTGGACGTGAAAGACCGCTGGAGAGACGCGAGCAGAAGCTGGATGCGCTGAAATCCCAGGCTGTCCAGCGCCTTTTATTTTAGGATTTCTCATCTGGGGTTTTAAATACAAACTACTCCTCTCAGAGGAGCCAAATTCCCAGAATGCAAATACAGCGTCTTCCCTTCACAGCCAGACTGACAGCAGCTCAAAGGGAGCCTGGTTCTACAGAAACTGGGGGCTGGCAGGAGCTTCCTCAGCGGGCTTCTCCTTGAGTCTCCAGAACCAAAGGTGTCTCTCAAGTGAACAGCATGGGCTTCATTCCCCAGACTTCCCTTCTCCAAATCCTAGGACCTTGTCTGCGTTGGTCTGGGCTGCTATAACAAAGTACCACAGGCCAAGTGGTTTAAGCAATAGATGTTCATTTCCCGTAGTTCCAGAGGCTTCCCATCCAAGACCATTGTGCTGACACAGGTTCTGGTGGTTTACAGAGGGCCACCTTCTTGCTTTACCCTCACGTGGAGGAGACAGAGAAAAAGAAGAAAAGAAGCAAGCTCTCTGACGTGTCCTGTTACAAGGGCACTAATCCCATTTATGAGGACCACCCCTCATGACCTCATCCAAACTTGATCACCTCCCAAAGGCCCCACCTCCTAATGCCATCACAAGGGGCTTAGAGTTTCAACACATGAATTTGGGGGGGACACATTCAGTTCATAATAAACCTGAAATAAAGGTGAGGGGAGAGAAATGGGCTGCCATTTTTAAGATGAAGTTAGTCATAAAACCTGTGGGGACAGTTTCTTTCAAAAAGTAAATAAAAGACTCAAGCCAGATTTTCTTAAGAGAGTAGCTATTAGATAGTCGAAAATTAGGCTTGTTAGAAAACACTTACCTAGGTCAGGACGTGATGTTTCCAGGATACTTGACATCAGGTTGCCTTTGCTAAAAATGATTTTTTCTATTTGCTATTTCCATTTGCTATTAAATTGCTACGTGGATTTCCAGAAAAATCCTTTGGACTTTCTTGCATCAAAAATGTAAACTGTTTTATCAAAGCAAACTTTAACATCTACTAAGATCCCATGCTTATATTGTGCTTTCCTAAATTCCTCAAGACATATTATCCGTTCCTAACAAGCATTATGCTTCAAACAATATTTTAAAGACATACAGTCAGTTTCTTTTTATGGTCTTAAATATTTCACAGCTCAAGATCTTGATAGTTTGACTTTGTTGAGACCCCTCTCTTCATTTATAAAAGCTTACCTATTATATTATCATACAGATGAAGCATCTCTAATTTTACATTTCTAATTAAAAACCTAGTTAACAATATTTGCTGTAGACTGTTGGACTGTTGTCCCTGAAACACCTCTTGGTTGGCACTGGAATTCTGTTTGCTGGAGAGTCTGCAAAAGAGGTAAATTTCTAATGATTTATACAAGCAGTGTGGATGAGCCCCGAAAACATCAGTGCTTTTCATTTATTTCCTATGCGAGCGGGAGAGGCTTAGGTTGTGGATTGCAAGTTTATCCCTCTATCTCTCCCTTTAAAAATGAGATTAGGAAATTGTTTTCCCAGAACATGGGTAAAAAGATTTGTGAGGCATTATGCTATTCCTTTAGAAATACATTTTGTTCCTCCAAACCCCCGTGCACCCGTAGAAGCCAAACAGCATGTCAAAGCCATCTCTCTCAAAATCCCTGTGAGAGCAGCCTGACAGAAGGAAAACGCGCGAGGTGAGGGTTTGTGATACCCAGCTGGACTCGAGCAGAGGTTGAGGTGAATTCGACACTTATTTTAAAAAATCTGAACGAACGTCAGGAAAAGTTTGCTTTAAGCACCTAAAGCATGCTAGGTCCGGGGCTCGAACTGTGACAAGTCTGGGGAGGAAAATTATACATTGCTGGGAGAGAATAGAGAATATTGCAGTGAGAGCTGAACAAAATGTGTGTGTGTTGGTGGGGGGGGGGGGGGAGGGAGAGAAAAGTCACTTTGGACTAAGATGTGAAGAATGACCTGGAGTTGGGTGGATGGTACCACACTCTCAAGAAGAAGTGACAGGGACAAAGGTGTGTATCCACTGGCCCGTACAGTCACTAGTCACATAAAGTTAACCACTGTTATGTAATCGCTTCAGTCGTGTCTGACTCTTTTGCAACCCCGTGGACTGTAGCCCGCCAGGCGCCTCTGTCCATGGGATTCCCCAGGCAAGAATACTGGAGTGGGCTGCCATTTCCTCCTCCAGGGGATCTTGCCGACCCAGGGATGAAACCTCCGCCATGTCTTCTGCATTGTCAGGTAGGTTCTTTACCACTGAGCCACGAGAGAAGCCCAAAGTTAACCATAGAGCCCTGAATATCTGATGACTGTTGAGGCTAATTATCAAGTACTTAAGAAGAATTAACTGGCCTTTTGAATTCTGATATTGCAACCCCAGGAGAAGGCAATGGCATCCCACTCCAGTCCTCTTGCCTGGAAAATCCCGTGGATGGAGGAGCCTGTAGGTTACAGTCCATGGGGTCTCGAAGAGTCGGACACGACTGAACGATTTCACTTTCACTTTTCACTTTTATGCATTGGAGAAGGAAATGGCAACCCACTCCAGTGTTCTTGCCTGGAGAATCCCAGGGATGGGGTCGCACAGAGTCGAACACGACTGAAGTGACTTAGCAGTAGCATTGCAACCCCAAATATGTAAAGAGAAGAGAAAGTGAATCGATCACCCACCCTGAGAAACCTTTGCAATCTGGTGGTCCAAGTCAGGTAAAGTTTTAAAAGTACAGCTATCATCATGTTTCATCAACCTGAATGATATATTACCATATCTAGGACACTCAGTGACATTTGATTAAGTGGTAATTATACCAAAAGCTTGATAATAGGGAAGAATGCATTAAGAATGTGAATGACAGCCTATTAGAATATTACCCATTATAGAATAGTTCAGCCATGGTGATCTCATTCATATTGCATTTATTTCACAAAATGATTTCTCTTGAAATAAGTACAGTTCAAGAAAGCTTCAAGTTTCAATGCCTATTGTGAGCAATATTCTGAGACCTGAAATGTCTGATCAGATCAGCTGTGCTTGGAGCATCTGGTTTATCTGAAGGAGAATTGGAAAAAGTGTTTTTGGTGGGTAAGTTGGGCTAACCCACCCCAAACTTTGCTTCAGGTGTATTTGTCAAGAAATGTCCAATGCTAATTTTCCCAGATGTTAAATGACTTAGAGAAGATTTAAACCCCAGCTTCCTGATTCCCACTTCCTAGCTTCT